CACTGGTGTTACTGGTGGGCAGGGCACCTGTGACTCAGTGATACCAATAACGTTACAGACACATGACCCGAACCTATACTAACGTTAATTACCCAGCCACGTACTGGGGATATATACCAAATAATCCCTGTCAACGTCACTATAAGTAACAAGTAACAGACCTCGAACATAGACCTATGGAACTATCTCTACCGAAGTCCCTATTAAGTATACACGTCACAGACCTAGAACTACGGAATTATCTCTACCGAAGTCCCTATAAGTTTACACGTCATAGACATAGAACATAAATACAGTAATACCCAGAATTATAGAATTATTCTGTCGTAGCCACAATAGGTTACTTGCTCCAGACCTTTATAGAATCTCTGTGTTGAGTACACAGTGTCCGATGGATTAGACTATCTATTCACTTCCCTTAGCACAGATGAAATACGACTGTAAACATTGACGCACAACATACCAGTTTGATGCCATGTAAATCAAGTAAAATGTACAATTAACAGACAAATAATTGGTGAAATTTCATGACCAGTCACGAGTATCAGCACAGATGAGAGTTGGAGTCGTGATGAAATATTAACGATAAAGTCATCATACCAGGAAAATAATAGAACACAGCCTTTATATAAAGGGACAAGGAAATATCAAATAAAATACATCATGATCTCCGCCAAATATAAAACCCCGGAAACCCAAAAACACCTCATAATATACCAGTAATCAGAGTCACTTTATCAAAGACGAACAACTATCAGTTTCCCTTCACAATAAAACTAGTTCAGATAGTGGCGTGGGAACTCAATCAGATTTCTTTCTATATTTTAGGTTTTCACATATTTTTATACTCCGCCATTCATTTTTGTTAAGGAACAAGAGATAAAACACTAAAATAAATGTACAATTAACAGCACTGACTGAAAAACTAAACGCCGACACTCCATCCTTGCGGCACAGATCACTAATAAAACACATTTACAATTGACAACTACATGAACATGAATATATATATATATAAACCTGGAGGCATTAACAATAAAAATATACGCTTTTGAAGTTTTCCTGTGTCTATACAAGATTTTTAAGATTTCACTTTATTATATTTCACCGTAAAGATATGTGACGAGAAAAAGCATACAGTAATAATAATCATCGACTTTATCTGTTTTCACCAGGAGAGATTTTACCGGGGAACACAGGCTTTTAACTGTATACCGGTCACATCGTCGCCTTCAATAAGATGAAAGCAATGTCTCGTCCTAAACATTCTGATTATATCTTCAAAGTATCAAAGTCACAGCTAAAGATGTTCGACACGGAAATATGTAAGGGACGAAATGTCTGACGTGGTTGAATTGGAATCTCACAACTTCACAGCGGTCCGGGTTAGAATCTCATAAATGTAATTTATAATTACGTGTTATTGTTTACAGCGGGCACCTGTTATAGAAGTATGTCTGAACTTCTGTTGTATCGTCACATTGTATATAAATAAATCTAGAAATATCAAACTACACCATTATCCTAACAAACAGTTTATTTATACCTTTGTTAATACCTCCTAGCTCAGTAATATGTATATATTATATTCGGTAACATGCCTTTATCAAATTAATGTTTGGCGTTTGTTTTGCCGGTATATGCCTCTTTAGAACATATAACAAATAACTCACAAATGTAATTCTCCTTTCTGTACCAATAACAATGCTTCATCAACTACTTATATTAGTTTACACATCCTGGACACCTAGCGTTAATACTTATATCTATAAATACTATACGTCCCTTTATCAATTACCACAGTTAATGAACATTACCGTGTTCACGTGCGTTTCAACAATGATACAGCGCCACCTGTCGTTTGTTGCCAAAAAGTTGATAGTTTCATTATGGAAGGCCTATTCGCTTGGGATGTTGTTTGCAAAATTACATAAAGATTTACAATGGTTAGTTATTACACTAGATGTGTCTCATTTCTCATAACATTACTGAATCAGAAATAATGACGTTCCGGAAAGTACAGAAATATATGTATTTGTATAGAGGACATGGTAATAGCACTCGAGGTTTGTCCCATATACACTGGTATCAGTTTCATAATTCTCAACATGTAAACTCATAAACCAATAATCTGGGATTTAAATGCTCACATTTAGATAAATAGATATGTTAGAAGATTTCATTTATTTATTTTCAATTCCTTTGAAACAAACACAAAGAAAAATGTTACCCGTTCAGTAAGGGTAGTTGAAAGTGTGTGTTACTAGCACATTTAACAACGTACATACATGTAAATGTATACCAACAGATGGGAGTCTTTATCACTATAAAACTACTTTAATTGATCAAAGCAGCGAATAAAAACACGACCGTCTGTCCAACAGATCAGAGTGTCTCGTGTTTAAGATCTGACCCAGGGATGTGACTCGGAATAGTTCCTACCTGTGTCTCTGTGTACAGGTGTACATCGCTCCCGCCCGATACGCTGTCGACACGGAGGATCTCATCAGACACAGTGACGGGAGAATGCTCCGCCATTAGGCCCCTGCTATCGGCATGTTTCTCTTTCGTTATATAAACGACATAACTCTAACGGGAAATCCACGTTTATCAAGCTTCAACTTTACATTAAACTAAATTTGATTTGTATTTTTTTTATGAATTGTCTGCTTAAACATGACTAGTTGTATGACTGATAAGGACCATTTTAAACCCAATATTAATATTTGTCTTTAGATTAATTCCAATAAATTAAAACAAAACATGTCAAGTTTTAATTTGAACGTTGAAGATTTAAAAGTTTGAAATACCTTACACCTGACCCAGATTACATTCCTGTGTCTAAACAAATTACAGGTGTCAGTCGGCCCGACACCGCCAGTTTAACTCGGGTGTATTGTAGGCACTCGTATTGGTTAATGTTGTTAGGCTGACACATATAATGGATTGGTTTCAGTATAAATCTTCTCTTCAAAATGTCAAACCTACGTCGACAGTTAAATACATGTACACGTATTATTACACACACACACCCCTCTCTCTCCCAAGAAAAAGGATAGAAAAAAGATATCAAGTGAATAGTTGAATTTTCTAGTCAGTATGTCACCACGATTGAAGTGACTATCTCGATATCTCGATGGCCAACTTCACAAACCAATACAACTTTAGTTCTGTGTTTTACTTGTATGCTGACGATGTGGTTATTACCCATTTCCTGTGCGAAACACATAACTATCACCATACCAGAGACGTACATACTGAGATATACGTCTGTGACAACCCATACCAGTTACTGGTTAAATATACGTCTGTGACAACCCATACCAGTTACTGGTTAAATATACCACTATACTGTCCAGCAATGATATACATTCCATCTACATGACGACACCCCAGGTAAAAAGAAAACTTCAGTTTTGAAGACAATATTACCATAGTATACATACCACACTTTGTAAATCTCTCGAATTCCAAACCGTAGGAACTTGGACACAGGGAGATCGCGTCAACACGGGGAAGTTTTGTGGACACATGTAAAGTCTGACGTCGATGTCTGACAACTAGGTACCTACATATAAACAGAGGGGATTATAACGTATTAAACCCCTACTGTATTAGTGAGTTTACAAACCTACTCTTACTCAAACCTGTCCCAACAAAAACCTGGACTACAACACAGGTCTATAATCCGGATATCCCCGATACCACAAGATAAAATTTTTTAGCGTCGCATATATGAGAATCATACAAACACAAGTTCAGTAGAGCTATTTCTGCGGCCAAAAACACCAAGCACAGGACTTTAGTCAGGACTTTATCCCGTAGCACCAAACATTGGACGATAGTCAGGACTATAGCCCGTAGCACCAAACAATGAACTTTAATCAGGACTTGTCCTTGTACCACATAAATCCACTGACCAAGCACTGGATTATAATCCGGACTTTTGGACCAATAACCTCCCCAAACACTGGGGTATCAACCTCCTCAAACACTGGGGTATCAACCTCCCCAAACACTGAGGTAGCAACATCCTCAAACACTGGGGTATCACCACAGACTGTTTAGTTTGGACTAACAACATCCTCAAACACTGGGGTATCCCCTCTTGTTTAGAACTTAGGATCAGACATTCAAGTGAACAAAATTATTAGAGTTGTTATTTTCTAAATAATTCAATATTCTAGAGACGGAGGCCAGTCTACTTTGGACTGACACCCTCCCAAACACTGGGGTAATACCAAAGATAGTGTAGTTTGTACTAACGATCCGACAAAACACTGGAATTATTACCAACTCTACCCCCTATACTAGTATGCGACACTAGTAGTTTTCGTTCTGCCAGTATTTCAGACTCAGTATAAAACCGTTACACACTCGTTACCGAGGGTTACATGTGTCCAAGTTTACTAGTGTTATAGGCCCCAGCGACTCTACTGGGTATCACAGTTTTTACATTTTATTGGGGGTCTATAGTATGTTGTCCTGATTGTCTATGGATCATCGTGCTTGGGGTTTATAGATGCACACAGACTGTGCTTCTGTGACGGTTTTCCTGGTACCAATGTTCACATAACACGTTTAAGTATCGTTTGAGACCTAGTATATAGGTCTGTGTTATCAAACAATTGGTCTATAAACAACCCTGTACTGTTACTAATTCTACCCCCGTATTTTAACCTGTTAACAGCCCTACCATATAATGTATATCTCGGAGTACAACGTACACCTTTATATTGTCGTATTACAGTTAAATTTGTGTGTCACAAGTCGAACGAAATGAAAAGGCGCCCTTTATATAGAGTGGTTTATAAGCAGAAATCGGAACTACTGTGACGAAAACATGTATTTCTTACTTTACTATGTAACTCCATGTCGAGATTGTTTATTATAGAAAACACAATAAACCCTACGATGTCTATTGTCAGTGTGTTATACATGTGTATGTGTGTAACTGGTGCAGTGTGGGGATTATAAGTACAATACACTATGCTACCTACCTAGCGGGTAACCATCCAAACTTTAATCCCAGGACACGTATAAACTCCACTGGAAAAACTCGATACACATGTTTTCACAAAATAAACAGGAGTTTTCATTTAAAACGTCCATGACAAGGAATAGTGTACAGTCGACATCACCGGCCAGTTTACCTATCCTGGTATATACATCCCTCCGCCACACAAAAGGGCCCGTGTCCTAACGTCTTAACATGCCGAGGTAGCTAGCCTGTATGCGATCGAGACAAATGAACGCGCTAACACATACATTATCTCTCATTTGACAGCTCCCTTTACAACGCACATCGATTCACGCCTCTCGCTCCGGTCCGCGCTGAACCGTGACCGTAGTAGCGTATAGAAGTGAAATTTGATATTATAGACCCAGCATTAGGGATTAAAGGGTCCTTTTATATCCTATAGTAGTTCACGCTTCTTGCTCTTGTCCCCGTCGTCCCGTGGCTTGTGAACGTCCATACAACCTGACAAGAAAAATGCATGTTTTTCTTCCTAGCATTAAGTTTGTGATAGCTGAACACAATTTATAAATCCGGGACCTTGTTATTGATAAAACACTAGAGTGTTACGACATTTCGCTCAAATCAGCAAAACAAATAGCCAAAGGGCGTCCAATCAGGTCGCCACGGACAAGGGTTCAAATGTCAATATTTCATCCGATGTTGAATGAGTTCTCATTGATACCGGTTTAAAGCTCAGTCCTGACTGTGTCGTGAATCATTGTATAGACTGGTGTTGTGACCGCGTGTTACGTATCCTAAAACGATCTTAATTGCCTTGTTATCATCATATAGCAATACACCTTTTTGTACCTGCAGGTCCAGGTAAGGATGTCTACAGTAAAAGGACCGCATTACGTAGATAGGGGCAATTTACAGAAAATAACTGTCTATCTATAAAACATCGGTTTGGTGTGTTACTGCCTTACGTCCTACTAATAGTTATGTTCATTTTAGGACATAACAGGTTTTGGGGTGGAGGAAACCGGAGTACCCGAAGAAAAAACCTACGACCTGCGATAAAGGACCGGCCAACTGCCCCACGTAGGCCTGGGACCTGCGACCCAGTTGTGAAGGGCTAGATATCGTGCACCGTGTCAGACGCCTTGACGACCATCGTAGTCCCCTTAAATATAGGGGCTAATTACAGAAAATACCTTTCTATTTAAAAAAAATGTTTACGAGGAAATAAGAGGGTGTCAGTTTGTAACAGCATTGGCAACCTATTGTTCATGCATTATATTACAACAGGCCAATTTTATTTCCGAGTTTCTTATGAACCACTTAAAACTCACAACTCCGTTAGCCTATCACCCCTTTTGAATCTGTAGACGGTGTTATGTAGAAGACACATTCACAAAACATGTAACTGGGACATTTGGCAGCCTTATTAGGTACAATTGACTGTTCCTAAGCCAATATAATCTTGAAATGTTGCCCATTGTGCCATCTCCATAGCTTTAACAATACAGCACAGACACTGTAGCCCCCACCTAGATCATTTTTTACTCTTTTTGATTTATTGGATTTTTTCAGGGGAGATCACCCCCCTTAAAATCCATGGCACTACGACTGTGTTGTGGAGGGACAAATGTTAACAATTCGGCCTAACCCCCAATCATGTTCACATATGTTAGGACTCCAGGGGTCAGTTTAAAGAGGCATCTCTCAGAAATGTTAAAACACTATTATAGGAGTGTTATATCACTCAACTCTGGCTTTCCAAGCTTTTTTAAGAGACACTGCCGGATGTAATGAGTAAATTTCAGATCTACCAAAGTTTGTAGATGTAGGTGATTGAGAAGGCTTCATACATTGGTGATGTTCTGTTCACATTGTGATGTCTACAAGGAAACGTTTGTATCATTCAGGTTACGCTAGACCTGTAAGTGTATCCTGTATTAGAGGTGTACGTTAATTCAGTTTGACGGGACGGGTCAGTGAACAGTAATTTGGCCCGGGGCGAGATGGACGGGAGGATAAGACGAGATCTGACGAGAGTTAGCTGTCTCCGTCAGACTTATATACCTAACACGAGGTCACACCTATCGACAATCAATCCTCGTTAAGTTTAAAGAACATATGAACCTATATATTAGTGTTTGGTTATAATTCAGTTTTATTTCCATGTTACAACAAACAGTACTACGGTTATGAACTTAAAATAATGATAACAAAACAGAAAGAATGCGAAAGGTTGGTGATTGTTTGAAAAATAATTGAATGATGAATCGGGGAGTGACGATTGATTACTTGATTGACTGAAGAAGCGTAGCACTGCGTTTGTGAATGAACGAATGTATTGATGTGATATCCCAATTGTAAAAGGCTTAGCCACGCGTAAGTTAGCCAAGTTCCATTTACGGATTTCTCTTTTACTCTTCTCTTATTAAAATAATATATAAGAATACATCATCCACAGCGCAGATTTCACTTTTCCGGAGTAGAATTTCTCGTAGAATTATATCATCGGTTATTTATACCTGGTAATCTCTAAAAAAGAATATTAACTCCACAAAATAAATAAAAATAAATAAATATCAAGATAATACAGTAATATTCAAGACAACGTCGATAATGAAACAAAAAATACAGCTAGGTTCATTTTAATCGGGATTACTTTAAACATACATGAGCTTACTATTTCTATATTTATTGACTACTTTTTACTTGAAAACTTTTAAATGATCGGAGATATTGGTATCAACAAACGACGGACTGTTTACTTTACAAATAATCATTGAAATGTCACGTACTTGTGTAATAAGTTCAGTTTTACTCTCGTCTACACAAGTTGGTAAACATTATTACGGTGTAGCCACCAAGAAAACTAACAGGATCCAGATGGAATACATTAATTATAACCATTGATATTTGCTGCTGTTGTTGTTGTTGTCGTTGTTGTTTTAGATATTTAAACGAAACAAATTGTATGAGTCGATTTTAAGTCTAATACGAGTGTTGCTCAATGTTTGACAGTGTCCGTTATTCGAGGGTGGAAGAGAAGCTTCAAAGCGACACTGATCAAAATGCATTCATGGCATTATGACGGCACTGTCGTCTTGTATTGTTTAAAAAGGGCATTGCAGCGGTAATATTTACATATAATGATAAACAGGTATGGTGAGTTCGTCTGATAGACTTGCACAAGTCTACAATATTACAGTTTTTAAACAACGGAACTGTAAACAAACTAGTTTAAAATTCCTTATAGATACGTCCGTCGTAGTAGGCAGCACGTATGGCCGATACACAACTGTCAAACGTTAAACAACGTTCATCCGTGTGGAGTCATCTGTGACAATACACCGGAGGTGGTATGCAGACTATTGAACGAAGAAGAAGGCAGACTGGGATCGAGTGAACATCTGACCACTAGCAATTACAACAACACGATGACGTCATCGTGATTATAATGACGTAACCAGACTCCGTCACTTGTTCACTCCCGCTGTTTCTGTATCAGTTTACAAATAGGATATTCTGTCTCTCATTGCGCTGTGTTTACAAGTTACGTGAAGCTGCAGGATTAGGTCCACAGCTGGTCACGTGAGCGGGAGTAGAAACACCACACATACGGGTAATTATCTGCTATCATGAGGGCACTCGTATCGGAGACACAGACAGTACGGTCGAATATCGGGGATTCTGTTAAGAGAATTAACAAGAGAGATAGAAGTTAAAGTTATGTGACTGAGAAGGAAAATACACTGTTTTACCGTATATTTGATGGTAAATGTACCGTTTATTTTACCGTAAACTGTGTAAGGTGCCTCTTATCTTTAACCGTAGAATCAACAAATTTTAAAAAAGAAAACACAGTTTTTCCCATAGATTTCTTTAATTTCAGAAGTTGTGTTTTCATGTTTTTTTCATATTAAATAAAATTGTTTCTTTTTCTATATGCCAGCCTGCCTCAACGGTGAAATAAGTACGAATTAAAGTAAATAACAAATTATATGTAAAACAATACTATGGTACAGTGTAGTTGACAAGGTAGGATTTCAATATTTATTGCTATTTTAATATTTATCAAATACATTCAGATGATTCCAGGAGAAACCTGTTTTATGAATTGTGAGAATGCTATGAGGCTATGCCTAGTCGCTATTATTCTTGATGTTCTTAATAAAACCATTAATGTTTCAATCAAGAATAAATAATGACCACTAAAAAAAAGTTAACACCTCGTGTTCTTCCTATGTCTCTTAATACTAATCCTACATGATTTGTTTCTTCGACCATCGTGAGTTTGAATACATTAATCCCTTTTGGAGCCTCGCTCTTGGCCAACGGATTTCTTTAGCGTTTTTCTGAGATAAGACAAACAACTCTGGCAGGGCGTTCGATCTTCCCTGCGGAACCCCGTAATATTTTATACAAATCATCTAATTACACAACTGGCTTGTATTCTCGCCGGATTTCACGGTATTATGAACGCTTGATCTGACACCGGAGTCAGCCAAGTGCTTGGCATGTATTGCATACAGCACATGGAAAAGCGATCCGAAATGATTGCAAGTAAATAGAGCATTATGTGTGTAGTCTCCTCAGCTCCCCACGGACGCAGTATTGGAGACCGGATAGGGCCTGGAATCGAAACAATAAACGCTCGTTTGAATCTGATGGCTTTTCATTAAGGCGCTTGTCAGTACAATAATACCACACACATCTCGTAAAGCCACGCAGCAAACTGCATACACATAAGATTTAGGAGGCGATTATTGCAGTATTGATATTCATATATTTATATACATAGCACGGTTACAATATGATCGGCGTCTGGTCTATACCTAAGAACATTTTATTGAATATTCATATATGTTCTATAAAATAAGTCAATTAAAACGATACACGAAGGTTTCCCACTTAATCGTGCTAATTCCTTATCTACCGTTACATGTCGTCCAAATAAAAAAAGCGATTTTCTGTACATTTTATTGGCTTAAATCCTAGTAGTTTAATATTTCTGATTAATGTAGGCCCTCGTCAAACGAACGTTAACCAATGAAATATGCATTAAATCCAGCAAAATTTATATTATGTACTGTATTTCATTGTTCAGATATTCACCAGTGACACTATCAGATAGTGTGCAAAACTGTCTCGTCTAAATTCACTTCCGTTTACTAAATCTTGGCTATTGTTTAGAGGAGTTCATTAGGGTATATTCTAAAACTTAAAAAAACCGAAATACGGAAAAATGGACAATGCAAACATTAAGCGCACAACGATGCAAGTTATAAGAAATAAATAATTAGTTTCATTTGAAGAATATTGTAA